ATGCTGACGGTGTCAAATCACTTCGCAAAAACGTTTAAAATCCGTCAAGCGCAAAAACCGGATCACATCGCAACATTCACAGTCTATTGAAAACAAAAAACGAAAATCAAAATAAAAGTCAGTTCATCTCGATTCAAAAGTCACTTTGTATCATTTCAATGGAGATTCAATTCTCCTGTCTGATCTCATTTTACGACAAAAATAAAATAAAGAGAGCGTCGGAGAGTCGAGCAAACTAGTCGACCTAAACCACGAGTATTATCAACACTGCGTTACATGAGGCGGTAAACCCATACTCACTGCCTCCTCCCCCTCCTCCTCCCACCCACCTATTCCTCATTTCCCTCCCCCTCCCCCCCCCTATTCCTCATTTCCCTCTCCCCTTTCTTCTTGCCCTCACTCCCTTTCTCTTCCCCTTCCCCCACCCTTTCGCCCCCCCCTCCCCCTTCCCTCATCCACACCTCCTTATTCCCCATCCTCCTCCCCTCCCCACTTCCCGTCTCTCTCCTTCCCCTCCCTCATTCTTCCTCTCCCCCTGCCTTCCCTTAATCCCCTGCCGATAAGCGAGATAACGCCACCTGGGCTAACACTATCGGTCAACACCATAATGCTGTAATCTCATATATTTTCTCTCTCCCTTCCTCCTGCGAAAATAGAGCTATCATCATTGAACTAAAAACCCTAAATGCCTTCTTTTTAATCCAAATAACCAATTCCCAATTCCCAATTCAGAAATCGAAAAACAAAAAACCGACCCACTTGGCATTCCAAACAATACACACGTAAATGTTTCCTAATAGATTTTGATACCGATAAGATAAAGATTATCAGCACTGATCTTATTGGCGTTCCTCCTTATATCTAAAAATACTTTCTTCCCAACAACACCTAGATGCTGGCGAACTGGCATTTCACAACAGTAGGAAATAAAGACAACTAACCAGCTATGTATACAAAACAAATTTTACAACACCATCAAAAGATAAACACACTGCAAAAGTATTAACATTAACCAAATAATTTAAGTCCCAGAATACATAAAATTGTCTCATTATTATTAGAAGTCCCAGAAGATATAGGACTTTGCTAACAAGATGAATCACTCACAAAACCTTTGACACCAAGGATCATATAAATATAGAGTCATGCCATTCTTTGCCGCTGTATGAAAAACTCTTCTACAAGTAGCCACCATTCATCTCCCTTGAACTCCAATCACCCTGAAAAACCCTTTCCCTTTAACGTCAATCACCCTTCAGCCACCTCCCTTTGACTGCTTCTTCCTTGAACTGAATCACAGTGAGATCTCCCTTTAGCAACAATCAACCTTTGCCAATTTCCCTCTACCTTGACACCATTCCCTCCCCTAAAACCTCCCTCTTCCTTCCAACATCAATCACCCTTTTTTGGTCTCCACCTTGACACCGCACCTTCCTTGAACTCCAATCCCCACGGGTTCAACTTCCAATCAAGTTAGCCTTCTGCCTTCCATACACAAATTACATGGTAAGGATTCCAGTGACCAATACTTACCATGATAATTACGAAAGAAAGATTTTTTTTCCGCCTCAGCTGTAAATAAACATCGGAATATCGAACAAATCCATACCAACCAATCAAAACGCAGACTTTCCGTATCTGCTTTCTCATAAAAAATCAAGAAAAAATTCTGCAGAAACAAACCTCATCTGATGACCACAGCAACACAACAAAACGAAACCGCAACCATCCAAAATATAAAAATGAAGAAAACACACACACCTTCTTAAAGAAAAATATCAAGAAAAAAATGTACCCAACACCCTCCCCTTCCCCTTCTCTGCCCCTTGTTCAGGTACTTACCACCCGACTCCTTGATCTTCTTCGCATACGCCTTCAGGGACCTCTTGTACTTCTTAAGCTGCTCGGTCAGGTTGTCCACTTGCCCCTGGAGATTCTGTGGGAGGAGAACACCAAAAGCCTGTGAGTTATTGTTATCAGCAAAATCTGATGTCTTCTGGGAATTATAATAATAATGTGATTTTGATGATAATATTTGTTGGCAATAATAACAATTAACTAATGTTAATTAATTGAAATAAAGAGTATTAATCTCTTATCACCATCAGTACCTTGTCCCCATGTACTGATGAAAAAAATAATAAATAAATAAAAACAATAATGATAACAAAAATAGCAATGATAACACTGTAATAATGAGAGATAACATTATAATGATAGCAATGATAAAAAAATTAATAACAACAACAATATTGATAACAGCAAAAATAATAATAATAATAATAACAATAATAATAATAATAATAATAATAATAATAACAAAACAACAATAACAATAATAATAATAAAAATAATGATAATCAGTATTATGATTTTGATTACAATTATGATCTAATATTATGAACATAACAGTAATAAAAATAATAATAATAATAATAGTAATAATAATAAAATAATAATAATAATAATAATAATAATAATAATAATAATAATAATAATAATAATAATAATAATAATAATAATAATAATAATAATAATAACAATCACAATAATAGGTATACCAATCCCTATTTCTGTTTAAAAGGCCGCACAAAGCACAAAGCTGGTGTATTAATTACCAGATTACAATGCATATTTCAAAACTGGGTTTCGAGGTAAAAAAAAAAAAAAAAAAAAAAAGGCCTAGAATACTAACTTATGAAGAGAACCAGTCCTGTTCAGGGGGGGAGGGGAGGGGATAAAATTACAAATCAATAACACAATTAGAAGTTATATAAATACCATATCAAACGAGCAACTGCAATATAAAAAAAAAAAAAAAATTTAAATCATACATAAATTTCGACTTCAACAAAATTTGTGCTGCCCACTGAGTGAACTCCATAATGTAACAAAACAGGTTCCATTCATGTTTCTCTTGTCAAAAAACGGCCCAACCTGTACTCGATAATCATGCTGACGGAGGTACAGCCAATGGTCACAATATTGGGTTTGTTACAAGGGTAGACAACTACATGCTCTTTATACTTGTCACAGTACTTCTAGGAAAATGAAGACAGAGGTGGAGGTGGAGGTGGACGTGGAGGAGGAGGAGGAGGAGGAGGAGGAGGAGGAGGAGGAGGAGGAGGAGGAGGAGGAGGAGGAGGAAGAGGAAGAGGAAGAGGAAGAGGAAGAAGAAGAAGAAGAAGAAGAAGAAGAAGAAGAAGAAGAAGAAGAAGAAGAAGAAGAAGAAGGAAGAAGAAGGAAGAAGAAGGAAGAAGAAGGAAGAAGAAGGAAGAAGGAAGAAGAAGGAAGAAGAAGGAAGAAGGGAGGAAGAAGGGAGGAAGGAGGGAGGAGGAGGTGTAGGTGGAGAAGGAGGAGGTGGAGGTGGAGAAGGAGGAGGTGGAGGTGGAGGTGGAGAAGGAGGAGGTGGAGGTGGAGGTGGAGGTGGAGGTGGAGGTGGAGGTGGAGGTGGAGGTGGAGGTGGAGGTGGAGGTGGAGGAGGAGGAGGAGGGAGAGGAGTAGGAGAAGGAGGAGGAGAAGGAGGAGGAGGAGGAGGAGGAGGAGGAGGAGGAGGAGGAGGAGAGGAAAGAAGGAAGGAGGAAGAAGGAAGGAAGGAGGAAGAAGGAGGAGGAAGGAGGAGGAAGGAGGAAGAAGGGAGGAAGGAGGGAGGAGGAAGAGGAAGGAGGAAGGAAAAGGAGGGAGTGAATGGGAAGGAAAGAGGAAGGAGAAAGGGAGGAATGAGGGAGGGGAAAAGGAGAGAGGTGCAAGGGAGGAAAGGAGGAAATGGGGGAAAATAGGAAAATAGGAAAGAGAAGAAAGAGAAAGATCACATAAAAGAGAAAGGGAAAAGGCAGATGAGTAATAAAAGAAAAAAAGGGAAAAGAAGACAATAATAAATATTTAAAAAAGACTATTAATACAACAACAATAACAACGCTCAAAAGAAAGAAAGAAAAATAAATCTCCATCTTAATCTCTGCATTATAAATCCTCCTGGAAAACATATAGCATCCTACTGAGGTAAATGACCTTTTGGGTGAACGACCTCTGAAGGAAGCATCAAATTGCGAGCCAATTAAAACAACACCGAACGAGGATAAATTCCTGTCAGTTTTTTCTAAAGTTCCTAATGAGAAGTATACGTCAATGCTCTACATTTTTCCTCTCTCTTTTCCTGTAGAGTATTTGAAAATTGTGCTATTCCTATCTTCTCTATGGAGGACAAATGTCATATTTTAGATTTAATAAAAAAAATATGATTTTAAGAAATAAACTAAAAAGACCATTAATTAAAACAGTACAAACAACTCTTCAGAAATATGATTTTCTGACAGTTTTAATAATGTAAGAGTACTGTGAACAATACTACCCATAAAAAAAATTGAGATACAATACTCAGTAAGAAGACTGAACTACTAAATAGGCAGGAATGTAAAGGAAATGGAAACATATATAGCTTGACCCAACATTTTAACATAAAACAACAGATAGGCAAATAAACCTATATGAGTTAATAAGTTCCAAATCTCGGCCAGCATTGATAACAACAGGAGTCTACATAATAACAGTAACAGCCTATAAAAATAACATATGATAGCTACCATTCCGTAGGGGTTTGTCTGTCTGCCTTTTTTGCTAGACCAGATTCTAAAACACAATCATGCACTCTAACCACTAGTTTCTCAGTAAGTCGCAAAATGAGCAAATGTAAGTCTTCCTACAGACTATACAATGTGAAACTGTTATAGAAACTGTAACATGATATTTTATACGAAGAAGCGAAGGAACTAGGTTGTAGGGGAAACTGTTGCCAAAGTTTTTTTTTTTTTCTCTCTCTCTTTTTTTTACAATAATATCAAGACAATTATGCCAATAATTACAATGGCTAGAAAAGTTTGTGAAAAATGTTCCTCCCAAGAACAGCAAATAATAAAAATACAAATGTACAGTCAAGGGGAAAGAAAAATATACATATGAATAAAAATGCCAATAACTCTTTTAAGAGTGAAAAATAGTGAATTGCAGAAAATAAATAAAACACTAATAATAGATCAACAAGAGGACTAAATATAAAACATATGCACTTGGAGTCACCTGAGGGGGTTGGAGAGGCCTAATGTTTACAGCTAGCTAAGGGGGGGAGGGGGGAAAGAGAGCAACATGGCAAGTCTTGGTTAATAATGGAAAGAAAGGGAATAAGTTCATGAATTAAAAAGAAAATGACTGGACTTGGATAAAAGAAAGACTGAAACTTTTTCTTCCATTAAAAAGGACACAATGACTAGTGAAAAGAACACTATCAAACAACAGATACAGGCATAGATTAACATTACACATCTCAAAAACAACAAAGTATTTTTAATTTAAACAGATAATTACCTAATTATATCATACATTGTGGCTATTCAATATAAGATGACATGTATAATGCTGTGGAAATTTTTAGTGATGGTGTCTTGCTGGTGTTTATGAAACAGAATTTGTTGCAAAATCAAAAAGAATAATGGGAGTAAATATAAAGCAAAGAATTAAAATCAAAGGTGCTTCTGGATCACTATCAATCATTGCTTCTAAAATTTCCACAGGATCACTTATAATTAACAGACTAAAGTTAAGATAAGAAAAAGGAACTCGCAAATTTATATGTAACTAAATGGTAAACCACTAACATCAACACACAACAATTACAAACTAGCAATATACATACACAGCATTACATGAATATGCATGAATTCAGTCTGTTAAGTGGTAATTAACACAGAGCAAAATCACTGTAGTTTTAATACAATCTCTTCTTGAAAATGAAGACAGGACACACATGCTTCACAAAATTGAAGAGGAAAGTAACAATTAAATCTAACACATTATGGCAACGGACAAAAATGAAACAACTTCCAATCTTCTCCAAAATTTTGCTACTACAATCTATCATTGCAGTTACCATAAACAAACTTCACGTATATCCAGAATTATCATTAACCATACTTTCCCCCTACCATTACTCTCATCACAACTTTCGGCATTATTTGACTAAACCCAACCTTAATCAACACCCAAATAACAAAAAAAAAAAGGAAAAAAAAAAAAGTTATCCCCCTACAACAATTCTACTCCTCTTAGACCTAATAACCAAACAACCAACGCCCCAAACAACAACCAACACTAACCAAATTCTCAGAAGTGAGCCTCATGATCTCCGACTGAAGGAGAGTCTCGGGTTGCGATCCACCTCCCTTGGTGAGGTTCTGAGCCAGGAGCTTCTGCTGACGGTCATTGTCCCTGCGCAGCCTGTCCAGCTCTGACTTGTACTCTGTCTCGGCCTCTCGGTGGCGCAGTTTCTCGCTCTTGAGCTCCTCCTCCAGTTGTCTGGGGGGAGGCGAGAGAGAGAGGGAGAAAGAAAACAAAGGATTACTTTTCATTTCTGGGATAAAGTGTAGGGTGAATGGATGGGTGGATACTAATTTTATACACATATATAAACATACATATATACATATATATATATATACATACATATATATAAACATATATATACATACATATATATACATATATACAAACTTTATATATATATATATATATATATATATATGTATATACACACACATACATATGTATACATACATACATACATATATATTCACACATACATACATATAAGATATAAATAGAATATAAATATAAATATAAATATAAATATAAATATAAACAGGTGTGTATATATAAATCAATATAAATGGTCAAAGAAGTGTTATGGAGTTGTGGGTGACAACTGTTTGTCTGATGGAATTTCTCTCCCTTTTTAGTACATGAAAATGTGACGTGTGAGTGAAAGATAAGGGAAAGAATGACAGTTGAAAAATTAATAACAATAAACACACAACACAAATACATTGAATTACTGACAACAAAACAAATAAACACAACAACAATAATGACATAACATACCAATTATGCATGAATACATCAAACCAACATGAAAAACAAGGAAAATCAAATCACATAAAAAAAAATAATAATAAAATAAACAGGTAAAATAAAAAAGCAACCTTAGCATGGTATTTATGATCACAGGTGAATTCATCGGAAAATGATCCGGAATAACGATAGTCTACGAATAACACATTAACATTAACAGCTATTGTCGTTACTACTATAGACAATGCATGCACTATATCTAGTACTTACCAACCCATATCTGGTTTGAACTAAGAGCTAGAGAGGCATGTGGTGAAAATGTCTTAAAACTTAATAATAAAATAATTAAAAAAATAAGCTTTCAAGCATAATGATTAAGGATATGCATAGGTTTTGCCTTCCCAAGAAGTGTCAGTTTCAATAATTACATATTACCTAATAGAAATGTATATGCTTTAGTAAGAGAAAAAATACTAATAATTGTAAAAGAAGGAGGAGGAGGAGGAGGAGGAGGAGGAGGAGGAGGAGGAGGAGGAGGAGGAGGAGGAGGAGGAGGAGGAGGAGGAGGAGGAGGAGAGAGGAGGAAGAGGAGGAGGAGGAAGAGGAGGAGGAGGAAGAGGAGGAGGAGGAAGAGGAGGAGGAGGAAGAGGAGGAGGAGGAAGAGGAGGAGGAAGAGGAGGAGGAGGAGGAGGAGGAGGAGGAGGAAGAGGAGGAAGAGGAGGAAGAGGAGGAGGAGGAGGAGGAGGAGGAGGAGGAGGAGGAGGAGGAGGAAGTGGAGGTGGAGGAGGGAGGAGGAGGAGGAAGGAGGAGGAGGAAGTGGAGGAGGAGGAGGAGGAGGAGGAAGTGGAGGAGGAAGAGGAGGAAGTGGAGGAGGAGGAGGAAGTGGAGGAGGAGGAGGAGGAGGAGGAGGAGGAGGAGGAGGAGGAGGAGGAGGAGGAGGAGGAGGAGGAGGAGGAGGAGGAGGAGGAGGAGGGAGGGAGAGTGGGAGGAAGGAAGGGAGACCGGGAGGAAGGGAGGGAGAGTGGGCGGAGGAGGACGAGGAGGAGGAGTAGGGGGAAGAGGAGGAGGAGGAGGAGGAGGAGGAGGAGGAGGAGGAGGAGGAGGAGGAAGAGGAGGAAGAGGAGGAGGAGGAGAAGGAGAAGGAGGGGAAGGAGGAGAATGAGGAGGAGAAGGAGGAGGAGGGGGGAGGGAGAGTGGGAGGAAGGGAGGGAGAGTAAGAGGAGGAGGAGGAGGAGGAGGAGGAGGAGGAGGAGGAGGAGGAGGAGGAGGAGGAGGAGGAGGAGGAGGGGGAGAGGGAGAGTGGGAGGAAGGAAGGGAGAGTGGGAGGAGGAGGACAAGGAGGAGGAGGAGGAGGAGGAGGAGGAGGAGGAGGAGGAGGAGGAGGAGGAGGAGGAGGAGAAGGAGGAGGAGGGGGGAGAGAGAGTAGGAGGAGGAGGAGGGGGGAGGGAGAGTGGGAGGAAGGGAGGGAGAGTGGGAGGAAGGGAGGGAGAGTGGGAGGAGGAGGAGGAGGAGGAGGAGGAGGAGGAGGAGGAGGAGGAGGAGGAGGAGGAGGAGGAGGAGGAGGAGGAGGAGGAGGAGGAGGAGGAGGAGGAGGACGAGAAGGAGGAGGAGGAGGAGAAAGTGGAAAAGAAGGACAAGGAAGAAGGAGGAGAAAAAAGCGAAAGAGAAGAAGAAAAAGCAGTAAAGGAAAAAAAAGTGGTACATACCAAAAAAAAACAAATAAGGAAAAGACCAGGGTAAACTAAAGTAGCAATTTCCGCTAATCGCATAACTATTTCCGACCAGCCTTTCCTTCAAACCAAACGCACACACCCAACTAAAACTAAGAAAACTAGAAACTAAACATAATAAGTCTTGAGCAAAACATATCCAAGAATCTGCCATATGAAACACTTACAAGGGACAAGAACTCATTCAGGCTTTCTATAGTTTGTGGAGGAGGAAGCAAGAGACTTCGGAAGAGGAGGAGGTGATGGGAGCTAGTGAAGGAGGAGGAGGTTTGGGAAGGAAAAGAAAGAAGAGGAGGAAAAGGATAATAATGATAACCTAAGTAAGGAGAAAAGGAAGGGGAGGAAAAGAAAGTAGATGGAGGAAAAGAACTTTGAATTTGAGTAAATTAAAGAGTAGAGTTAAAAAAAAAAAAAAAAAAAATCTATACTTATTCCAATAATATGTTATGGATGGCACAAACACAGTACATCAAAAGAGACAAGATATAAAGAAATTAACTATATCCGAGATCCTTAGCAACACAAAATACAAAACCAATGACATCCCACACTAAAACAACAATCAAAACTAAGAACATTTCAACCACCCTGGACAATTATCTATTTCTTAATACACCATTAAAACATGTTTTCAACTGAATCTTACAGTACAAATGTCAAATGCTATACCAATAATACTCATGCACATGTTTTCCACATAAAAAATACATATACAAAAATATATCAACATATACTTACATGAATTTATATTCATATACATATATTCATACACGCATACATATATCTAATCATATACATACATATGCATACATACACACATAAGTATCTATCTGTCTATGCATGTATGTATCTGAGCATATAAACATGTATACATGTATGTATGCATGTATACATGTGTATGTGTATATGTATATGTATATGTGTGTGTACGTGTACGTGTGTGTGTGTGTGTGTGTGTGTGTGTGTGTGTGTGTGTGTGTGTGTGTGTGTGTGTGTGTGTGTGTGTGTGTGTGTGTGTGTGTGTGTGTGTGTGTGTGTGTGTGTGTGTGTGTGTGTGTGTGTGTTCAACAGAACCTTCCTAGATTTCCAAGAACATCTTAAAACATCATAGATGACACTTGAGGAATCACTCTCTCTATTTCTCTATCTTATTTATAATTTTATTTATCATTAACATTACAACTATTTAAAAAAAAAACATTTGCTGGACAAGCTATACAAGCATTAGCGACCCACAAACACATGCACAACATTCATCAGATAAAAAACATAAAACACAGGATTTGGTCAACGGTTTTCAAGATTGTTACATATGCTGCCGAATATTTTATCCCTAAATACTAATACTGATGATAATGATAACATGTACA